GCACCCGCCGGCCTCCCGGGCCCCGGCCGCCGCCGCCCGGCGCCGCCGCGTCCCCGCCACGTCCGAACCATCTTCCAGGCGGCGGCGGCCGAGCCCCCGCATCGCTTCGAGCCGGCGGCGGCGGGAACGTGGTGCGACCTCTGCTGCCGCTTCGTCCTCTCGCAGGGCCTGCGCTGCGCCGGTGAGCGGTCCCGGGCGCCCCAAAACTGGGGGCTGCAGGGCTGGGGGAGGGCTGGGTTTCCCCACACGGAGCGTTGGGGCGTGAGGGACACCGGCCCTTGGTGCTGGGTGGCTGGGGTGGGGTGGCGTGGGGTGACAGCATGGTGTGGGGCAGTGGCGTAGCCTGGGTGTAGTGTGAGCCAAGTCAAAGCACCCCATCTCCACCCGACGGGAAGGTGGCACGTATTGCACCTCTGTTTCACTGTGAGGGTGGTGAGACGCCAGAACAGGTTGCCCAGGAAAGTTGTGGATGCCCCATCCCTGGAAGTGTTCAAGGCCAGGCTGGATGGGGCTTTGAGCAACCTGCTCTAGTGGGAGGTGTCCCTGCCCATGGCAGGGGGTTGGAACTCGATAGTCTTTAAGGTTCCTTCCAACCCAAACCATTCTATGATTACAGGGGGGGTGGGTACTGCCATTATGAAAGGTCCTTGTGGGCTCCCACCCCGGCCAAAGCCCTGTGGTCTTCTCCCCTGCCCGGTCCTTCAGGTGGGAGGAGGAGGCTGTGTCTTGGAGTATCACATTTCCCATGTCCATGTCCACCATGTCCATGTCCTTTTGCTCCCTGGGCTCTGATTCGTGGTAGGCAAAGGTGGGTTTCCCTTTCCCTGTGAAGAAAACAATTTTTTTTCTGCTTTTCATCCCTTTCATTACCACAGTGCTCTAAAATGCAGTGATTTCCCTCACCTGTTACCTCCCGTTCTTTATGGTAGGAGAACATATATCATCTAGTGCTGGTGAAAACTCTCCATTTGCCATCCCTCAGTTTGAAAAGCATTTGGCCACATCATTGGGTTTCATGGTGACCCAGGGAGAGGTTCCAAGAACCCCATGGGCCTTCTTGCTGCTGTGGCTGTTCCTCATCTACTGCTGTCATCCCGCTGCACTTTTTAGGACAATCTAGTGCTATCCCTAGTGGGGTGACATGTTAAGGTGTGTGGTTTGCTTTTGATTTGCATCACTGAGCCTTTTGTCTAACAGGTGATATTTGAAAACCAAAGTGGGAGGGAAAGGTCAGTCTTTTCCTGTTGTTCTTTTCTGCCTTAAAGAGATGCAATAACCTCATACTGTTCTCACTGAGGTATAAAATATCTGTTATGATATAATGCTCCCACAGAGCACTTTCGGTAGCTCTGTTTTTACAGTTACTCTTGGAATGGAAATACTTTGGCTGTGAAAATAAATTAATTCTTATTTATTGTTTAAGTTAGTGCACCGTTTGTTCTGACAGGATGTATAGTGCACTGATGTGAAAATAGACCTTAAAAATCATATTTTTTCTTTTATCATCAAATGCTCCGTGGCAAGAACTTCAAGTGTCACACTGGATTATATGTCTTGCAGCGATGTTTCCTCAGAATGATTACAGCTTACAATGTTTTTCCTTCTCCTCTGTGTCAAGCTCCATTTTTATGAGGCGTAGTACTTCAAGCTGCTCCCTGAAATTGCTGTTTAAGTAGCAGAGGAAGCAATCAACATTTCTGACGTAGCATGAATATAATATTTAAAAGCTGTAAAGCGGAATGGAGATGAAGGTACACAGAGGGATTGCTGCAGGAACCTCCGTTCCCTCCCGGTTTGCAGGCACACCACCCAGCCAGACAGATGAAAGGACCTGGCTGCAATGTTGGCCATGGGCAATGGCAGTGGTGGCTGTGTCAGGACAGCTGGGAGGCGTGGGGAACGCGTGGCCAGCTGCCCTCCTGGCCCCGAGCTGCTGAACCCGCTCTGCTCCCAGAGGTCAGTCTGTGCCCTTGGTTGTGGACTCCTCTGTGAGTAAGCGAGCTCAGAAGATGTCCCCTGCTGCGGAAAGCGGTCAGGCACAGCTCTGCTCAACCTCCAAAGTGTGTCGAAACTGGCCTTGAAAGCTGGAGCAGATACATCCAGCACTGGGCTACCACAGCTGGGGTTGTGGCCGCTGTGGTAGCCTCCCCAAAAATGCCAGGGTCTCCTTCAGGTATCCCTTTTTGAAGCAGAGACTACAGCTGAGGTTCTAGTTGCAAGTACCTTTCAGAGGTTTGAATCTGCCTGGCAAGGTGTGAATGGTGCCAAAAGGTCCCCAGGTAACTCTCTGTTTTCCAGAGGCCACAAGTGGTAGGGACTTTTATTTTATGACATCTAAAAAGCAGACGCAGCAGCATCTTTCAGATGGTCCACTGCCAAAAAAAAGGGAGCCACATACTAAACTGTCATGATTCTGAGTCACAAAGACATTGTATTTATTCAAATTACTCTGAGTATCGGGTGAAGTCAGTTCTCACTAGATCGTTTCCCTCAGACGAGATCAGTCAGAGGTGATAAGAAATAAAAGGCATGAGAAATTCCCTTTGGGATCAGGAAGTAGTCACAGGGCACATCAAAGGAGTAATTTTGAAGTCTTTAGGTGCAGACTTTTTTCTGCCTGAGAGAGAAAAGACCTGTGATGAGTAGGGGTTTCCTTTGAGTGTCTCTGTCCTGCCCTCCCCACAGGGATGAGGAAGGTGCCCCAGCTGAGCTTCGGTGAAGGCTGGACTTTTCATAGAATCACAGAATTGTGTAGATTGGAAGGGACTTTTAAGATCATCTAGTCCAACCATCAAAAAAAT